TTCCTTTCCTTCTCCATACTCTTCTCTTCCCATCACTCTGGTACAAGTTGATCTTGGTCTCATCTGTCCATAGGATGTTGTTCCAGAACTGTGAAGGCTTTTTTTAGATGTCGTTTGGCAAACTCCAATCTGGCCTTCCTGTTTTTGAGGCTCACGAATGGTTTACATCTTGTGGTGAACCCTCTGTATTCACTCTGGTGAAGTCTCTCTTGATTGTTGACTTTGACACACATACACACCTACCTCCTGGAGAGTGTTCTTGATCTGGCCAACTGTTGTGAAGGGTATTTTCTTCACCTGGGAAAGAATTCTTCAGTCATCCACCACAGTTGTTTTCCGTGGGTCTTCTGGGTCTTTTGGTGTTGCTGAGGTCACCAGTGCGTTCCTTCTTTTTAAGAATGTTCCAAAAAGTTGTTTTGGTCACGCCTAATGTTTTTTGCTATCTCTCTGATGGGTTTGTTTTGTTATTCAGCCTAATGATGGCTTGCTTTCACTGACAGTGACAGCTCTTTGGATCTCATATTGAGAGTTGACAGCAACATATTTCAAATGCAAATAGCACACTTGAAATGAACTCTGGACCTTTTATCTGCTCATCCAGACTTCAGGCTGTAATTGACTGCAAAGGATTTGCAACCAAGTATTAAAAAGTGAAAGTTTGATTTATGATTATTATTCTGTCCCATTACTTTTGGCCCCTTAACAAGTGGGAGGCACATATGCAAACTGTTGTATTTCCTACATGGTTCATCTGATTTGGATGTAAATACCCTCAGATTAAAGCTGACAGTCTGCAGTTAAAGCACATCTTATTCGTTTCTTTTCAAATCCATTGTGGTGGTGTATAGAGCCAAAAATGTTAGAATTGTGTCGATGTCCCAATATTTATGGACCTGACTGTATATTACACAGGGCATACTTGACCCCAGTCCATATTACCAGTTACAAGCCCAGTCACAGCCCACTATGCTTCCTATGCATGCCTCATACAGGTACATTCTATCATCTCCTCTGGTCCTGTCCTGTTGTGCAAACCTACTGGACTCAGATTGTCCGCCTTCTACATATTGGATCCTCCCTGACACTGGACCCAAAAGTATGTTTATTGGGTCTCCTTACAGATCCAGACATGGATAATTCACAAATCACGTTTCTTCATTAAACATTATTCTCAGTTCGTAAGGCTATTGCTCAGCTCTGGATGAAGACAACACCCCCCACGTTAGACTCCTGGAAGTGTAAGGTGAACCTCACCCTTCCCTACAAGAAAATAATTTACTGACATAGAGGCTGCCCAACTAAATAAAATAAAGTATGGGATAAATGGCTTTAAATACCAGATACGTGTGATTGAGTATTTGCCCCCTTCTTTTTTTCTGAAAGTTATTGTATTGTACTGGTTATTCCCGTATACTGGACTACATGTGATGCTTGCTCCTGCAAATACCTCAACACACTGTCATACTGGAGTGTATAACTGTTATAGGAATGCTGTTCACCTGTGCATTAGTTGGAGATACCCTACAATCTTGAATAGTTGGCCTAATTGTTTCCCCTGTCTTGTTTAATCGTTTTTATAATGTACATTGCAATTTTCTTTCTGAATTAAAGTTTTTGAAGTGAAATATTGGACTTTGTGTCACAGGTACACATGAAATAGACTGTTTTGTGATAGACTACTACTGTCATGTGCCTAGCTAATGTTAAAGTTAAAAATAGAAAGTTTCCATTGAAAATAGTGTAACAAATAAGGGCATTCAGTTAAATGAATGTAATATTTGTGGTTAAACAGGTGATGTTTGGATGAACTATTTCTGGTTACATTAAGCAGAGAAGAACATAAATTCCTGATAGTGAAATTTCATAGACATTGCTTATATTTTATGACTGAAAGTTTTGGCACCTGTAAGATGAGAACAAGGCTTTTGGGGCTATGCATTTTGTTAAGTTTTAAGAATTGAGATAGTGGTACTGAGTAAATAATCATTACTTTATTTGCAGGTAGGTTATGTTTTTGAATGAACCCAATTGCAGAGAACAAACAAGAAAAAGATTTGTACCACATATAAACTGGACTCAAATGCATGTTTAAACACGTGTTTTTAAGACACAGCTGAGAAATAGGGTCCTCAGTATTAAAGTACAACTGTGGCCTGGCTATGCACTTTCAAATATTTGTGTATTCTTAACAAGCCATAAAATAGTTTTAAAACAAGCCACCTATGACCTCTGTAGCTACAGACATTGTGGAGCAAGTCTTCCGCAACATTCACAAAAGAAGCACTGAAGTTGTCAGGTCTCATACTCTGCTCTCCTATTTTTCTGTCCACCCTTTCTTTGTTTACATTAGGGATTAGAAGGCTGGTAAGCTGTCAACTCACTGCTGATGGGGAAGAGGGTAAGCATGGAGAGCCAAGGTACTAAAATGAAAATGTTTGTATTTTGCTGTAAACTTTGAGAATGAAGCACTCCTTAAAATGGTTGCAAACCCCATGTTTGATAATACCAAATAATAACATATGTATATAGTCTGTACCATAAGGAAGTAGATTGCATTATTTGTACCTTGGTACTTCACTCTGTTGTTCTGTTACAGCCTGCTGAATATCTCCTTTTCTCTGTGGAGTGTTGATGGCCTGGAGCTCGCCAGGCAGAGTTGTGACATCACCAGACTCCCTTCCCAGCTGTACACTCCCCCACAATTCTCCTGGCTCAGCATAGCAGTGCACACAGCGGGATGTACTGTGTGTGCAGCTGTTTGAGACATGCCACCTTCTCTCAGGCTCATTCTCGAGTATGCTAATTTATTCTCTCAGTCACTGGAGAGGGTGTGTGGCAACACCTTTTTTTTTTATGTGTCCGATTTTTTTCACAGTAGGAAACCAGGAAGTCTTTTAGATGACTGACTGTACAGATTAATCTGTCAGCCCGCTGGATGTGCGGTATATACAGTATACTGTGCTGAGCCAAGCATATGAGCTATGATGACATCCCCTTCTTAGTGCATAGGGTTCAATATTGAGTTGGCCCACTCTTTGCAGCTGTAACAGCTTCATCTCTTCTGGGAAGCCTGTCCACAAGGTTTAAGAGTGTGTCTATGGGAATGTTTGACCATTCTTCCACAAGCGCATTTGTGAGGTCAGGCACTGATGTCGGATGAGAAGGCCTGGCTCGCATTCTCCACTCTGTCTTTATGGACCTTGCTTTGTTCACTGGTGCTCAGTTATGTTGGAATAGAAAGAGGCCATCCCCAAGCCATTTCCACAAAGATGGGAGCATAAAATTTTCCAAAATGTCTTGGTATGTTGATGCCTTAAGAGTTCCCTTCACTGGAACTGAGGGACCAAGCCCAAACCCTGAAAAACAACCCCACACCTTAATCCCCCCTCCACCAAACATTCTCCTGGTAACCTCCAAACCCAGACTCGTTTATCGGATTACCAAACAGCATGATTCATCACTCCAGAGAACACGTCTTCACTGTTCTAAAGTCCAGTGGAGGCGTGCTTTACACCACTACATCCGCATTGCACTTGGTGATATAAGGCTTGGATGCAGCTGCTCGGCCATGGAAACCCAATCCATGAAGTGCTGTATGCACTGTTATTGTGCTAATCTGAAGGCCACATGAAGTTTGGAGGTTATTAGCTACTGACTGCAAACTGTGCGCTTCAGCATGCGCTGACCCCGCTCTGTCATATTATGTGGCCTACCACTTCATGGCTGAGTTGCTATTGTTCCCAGTTTCTTCCACTTTGTTATAATACACTAACAGTTGACCATGGAATATTTAATAGCAAGGAAATTTCACGGAGGACTTATTGCACATGTGGCAACCTATCACAGAACGACACTTGAATTCACTGAGCTCCTGAGAGCGACCCATTCTTTCACAAATGTTTGTAGAAGCAGTCTGCATGCCTAGGTGCTTGATTTTACATACCTGTGGCCATGGAAGTGATTGGAAAACATGAATCCAATGATTCAGAGGGGTATCCCATAATACTTTCCTTCCTAGCTTGACTACCCTGGCCCACCCCTTTCATAAATTGAATTTCAGTTCTTTCAATCATGAGTGCTTGGAATCACACATGGGCATTACCTAGGTCATCTTTCCAGCCCTTCTCATCAGCCATGATCTACTTGATGAGGTGGAAAAGTTAGAGCCGGAGAAAGCTTTCACTGCACAATCCTGCTATATTTTCATGTTACAGGAATTTGGAGCTGCAGAGGTTGCAGTGTAGTGCTGCTAATTTATATGTCATCTTTTAGAACAGGTCTCAAAATTTCCACTGGCCTACTCACATTCGGTGAGCGAAAATAACATGGGGCGAGTGCCTATCATGGAAAGTGACAGCACCAGCGGGAGCCGCATTCTGCAGGTAAACTATCCCTTCGCCAGGGCTGGATTATCATTGGGGTTCATGGAGCTGAAGCTCCAGGCCCCTACCTTAAGGCCCAGGGGCAGACTGACCAGTTGATCCACCCCCCTCCCTCTATCTCTCACCCTCTCTCTCTCTGACCCCCCTCCCTCTCTCTCACACACACCCCCTCTCACCCTTCTCTTTCTCACCCCCTCTCTGACACCCCTCACTCTCTTTCTCACCCCTTCCCTCTCTCAGCCTCTCCCTCTCTCACCCCCTCACCAACTAGGGTGACCTTTGTCCTTCTTACATCAAAAGATCTGGTGAGCAGCAAAGAGTGACCATATGAAGAAGTTGAGGTGCCTGGAATTTATTTAAGGGTGGAGGTGTGCATGGACACATCCACCCTTAACTAAAAATCCAGGGACCTCAGTGTCTCCACCACCATGCAATAGTCCCATTTCATTCCTCCTCCACTGAAGCATGCAGCATGTATGATGGTGAAGACGCTGAGGTTCCTTGGACTCTCAGTTAAGGCTGGAGGTGTGCATGCTTCAGTAGAGGAGGAATGAAGTGGTACTATTTCATGGTGATGGAGATGCCAAGGTTCCCTGGATTGTTATTGGGAGTAGTAGTGCCTTAACTTTGGTTTCAGTGGAAGGAATAACATCTCAGCATTTGTATCAGTGGGAGGAATTATACCCTGTCATTGGTATTAGTAAAAGGGACAATGCCCCATGCTTGGTGTCAGTGGGAGGAATAGTGCCCCCACACTTGGCGTCAGTGGGAGGAACAGTGCCCCATCATTGGTGTCAGTGGAAGGAATAGCGCCCCATCATTGGTGTCAGTGGGAGGAATAGTGCCCCACGCTTGGTGTCAGTGGGAGGAATAGTGCACTTCATTGGTGTCAGTGGGAGGAATAGTGCCCCATTGTTGGTGCCAGTGAGAGGCATAGTGCCCCATTGTTGGTGTCAGGGTAAGGAATAGTGCCCCTCATTGGTATCAGTGGTAGAAATAGTGTTCCATCATTGGTGTCAGTGGGAGGAATAGTGCCCCATCATTGGTGTCAGTGGAGGGAATAGGGCCCCATCACTGGTGTCAGTGGGAGGAATAGTGCCCCATGCTTGGTGTCAGTGGGAGGAATAGTGCCCTTCATTGGTTTCAGTGGGAGGAATAGTGCCCCATCGTTGGTGTCAGTGAGAGGAACAGTGCCCCATTGTTGGTGTCAGTGTAAGGAATAGTTCCCCTCAAGACGACCACTGGCTTGCTAAAGAAGCTGAGGGTAAAGGTGATGGACTGACCAAGCATGTCTCCAGACCAGGGGCGGACTGACCATTTGAAAACTCGGGCACTGCCCAAGGGCCTGGGGTCAGTAGGGGGCCCCATGAGACACCTTTTTTCATAGGCTTTTTTGAGTTTGGGCAAGGACACAGGGGCCCCATGATCCCCTATTGCCCGGGGGCCCCATGAGTTGTCAGTCCACCCCTGCTCCAGACCTAAACCCTATTGAGCATCTGTAGGGTATCCTCAAACGGAAGGTGGAGGAGCGCAAGGTCTCTAACATCCACTAGCTCAGTGATGTCGTCATGGAGGAGTGGAAAAGGACTCCAGTGGCAACCTGTGAAGCTCTGGTGAACCCCATACCCAAGAGGGTTAAGGTAGTGCTGGAAAATAATGGTGGCCACACAAAATATTGACACTTTGGGCCCCATTTGGAAATTTTCACTTAGGGGGTGTACTCACTTTTGTTGCCAGCAGTTTATACATTAATGGCTGTGTGTTGAGTTATTTTGAGGGGACAGCAAATATACACTGTTATACAAGCTGTACACTCACTACTTTACATTGTAGCAGAGTGTCATTGCTTCAGTGTTGTCACATGAAAAGATATAATAAAATATTGACAAAAGTGTGAGGGGGGTGTACTCACTTCTGTGAGATACTGTATATGCTTTTCAACTGTGTATTTCGCTATTTAGCTGGAGTTCCCCTTTCATTTTTGGAATTGTTGGAATGGACCTTTCATATTTTTGCAGCTGTTCAAAGCAAAGTACCACAAAATGAAAGTGTTCATATGTTAAATAAATCGTAAATGCTATGGAGGAGGGAACTTTCAACGTGATTGAATCATTTGCTCCTAGTATAGAATTTGTTTCATTTAGAAGGGACTAGGGTTTAAATTGAAAGCAATCCTTACATCTGTTTTTTTATTATTTCATTTAGAATGATTGGTATCACATGATATACCATGTTCACTTCAGTATTCTAAGAAATAAATTACATACAACAGAACAGATTTTACATAGATTGCAGGTCACCTTTATATTCCAAGGTCTTATGAAGTCACTCAATCTTCAGTCATGAGCATTTTATGGGTACTGAATCTCATCTTGTACTTTACTTATTGCAGACCGGACATAAGAATTTTTCTTCATATATCTTTTTCACAAAATGCTTCATGGAATATAATATTTGTGCTGTACAAATGGATGCCATAAGAAACATAAGATGAAAATAAGTTAAGGCATTATGGAAGTGTGTTCCATGTGAAATCCTGTATGACAAGTAACACGCTGGGATCCTTCCAAGTTATGTTCCACACAAAATAATTTTCAGGAAATTACAAAAGATTATTAGGTTTGAAGAGGTATGATGGATGCAAAATTGAAACTGCATGTTTTAATGTGCAAAGAAATGTAGAACTCATTTTATATAATAACCCACATGGAAATTTCATATCCAGAATATAAAATAAAGCATTGGCTTAATTCAGTTTTATTTAACATTGGACACCTGTTTTATTAAATAATCTAAATAGTTGTCAGTGTTGGGGTTATGGTTTAGTCTGGTGTTCAAAGGAATGTAACAGCATGTAATAAGGTAAGGTACAGATGGTGTTTCCTGTTACTGTAAGACTGGGCATCTAACCAATCAAAATGTCTCAGGGTGAAAAGTGGATAAAATGGACACGGCTCTATTAATTTGTCATTAGGCTGCACATTCATTGCTTAACACTTTGTGCAATAGATCAAAGGTTTGTTTAACAAATGATAGTTGATTAATTGTAGAACAAAGACTTTTAATAAATCTATAGATAGAAACCACAACAAAAAAAATAAAAAATAATGATTCTCATACCCAATTTAAAATGGTCCACTAACAACTGAACAAAACTAACAGCAAAAACATATATAATTATTCACATACAGTATCGGTCCTAACAAAAATGTGTTAAAATAATGCTGCTATGAGAGAAGTATGGGGGCTACCATTGCTGACTCATTCTGAATATGCTGGCTGCATTGTGCTTAGATCAATGCTTTGGTCTTATTACTTTCCAAGTCTCCATCTTGAAAATGTTAGGCAGGTTATGAAAATCAGAACAAAGTTGAACATTCTTATAGATGTACTTGTTCTAGGTTACTGACTCAAAGTACTAATCAAAATTATCCTCATGACAAAATATTCTTCAAATATTGTTTTTTTTATAGCTTGTCAATTGACAGAATTTGTCTGTATATAGGATTCCAATTATACCTTGAACTTGAGCAATCAAAGAAAGTCATACAGGCAGTATTGCACTGGTCAATGTACTCAGTCTAAGCACAAAATTAGCTCAATACAATCTTAAATATATTGGAAATAAAAATTAATTCACATATACACATTTCAATAGCATACTGCAGTTCAGCTTTGGGTTTCTTAGCCACACTGCAACTCGTAGTTTAAAATAAACCTGTATTCATCCTACTCAGGGTAATATAAAGGGGTTGTAGAATAGAGCTCAACCCTTAGTGCCTTTACTTATCTTCCATTTGCTCCCCAAAATCTGATACAATACAGGCTTGATTTAGTATCCCTTTTGTGCATAAAATGTATCCTGATATTAATTTAACTGTAGCTATAGTGATCACCATTTTGTTATAACATAGTATATACAGTACATTCATTCCTTCTATAAAGTGACTTCATTTCACCATAATTCAAATTTTGAGATTGCTAGTTCTAAATAGTTAGACAAAGAGTGAATTATAAAGGTCAAGATACAATTAACACTCTCTCAGACAGTTTAACAAATGTTACTGTGGCAACAAACGTCGAGCCCTTTACATTGCAGTGTGGAATCACCATTTCATGTTTAATACATCCCTGCAATGTGTAATCATAATTGACCTTCAAAGACTTTACATTTATTCTAGGCATACTTTTTTGCTTGTGAGTAATAACTGCATGTTTGCCCAGTTTGAGGGGGGTTTCCTTCCACATTCTGTCATCAAGGCAGTAAGTGAGAAAAAAATCAGTCCATCCATGGCACAGATAGCAGGGCATCCTTGTGGGGGTTATAATGCTTCCCCATTCTATCCAATGCAAAAAAACTATTTGGATAGAAATCCAATTAAAAATAGACATGTGGACAAGCTATGGAACTCAAGTATTTACATATTCTTTAACAACAAGTAAATGAGCCCTTACTGACCTTTGTAGTTGCAGGCACAGTGGAGCCAATATTCCTTGAATTTTACTGCAGAGGTACTTAAGTCATTCAAGTTGATCTCTCAGTAGCACATCTCCCCATGATCTCCCTTCCTTTCAGAACACCTTATTTGTATTTAAATTAAAGATTAATCTGGCAGGCTGCTGAGTCACTGCTGGTAAGGGGTAGCAGGGAAAGCTGAGGTGCCAAGAGGAGGATTTGAATAGCTTTAGTGCTTTTGTTGTGAACTTTGAGAATGATTTGCACCACATTACATAAACTACAGAGGTCACTGAAGGCTTGTTTTTAAGTTCTCTGATAGAACTGATAGCCGCTTCTGCTGTGATTGCACACAGCAGAAGCTGATCAACAGGTGCTGGCCAATGGATGAGCACCGATGCTTGTTGATCGCTGAGGAGATGACAGAACACAGCTCTGCCTATGTAAACAAGGCAGAGCTGTGTTATGTCAACGGTGATCTGTTCGATTTTATTCAGGAAATAAAAGTTAGCAGATTGCATAGTAAAAACAGCATACTGTACACACAAAAACACTTGCTAGGCATACAGTTAACCCTTTGATCACCCTAGATGTTTAACTCCTTCCCAGCCAGTGTCATTAATACAGTGAGAGTGTATATTTTTAGCACTGATCACTGTATTAGTGTCACTGCTTCCCACAAATTGTCAGGTAATGTCAGTTAGTGTCAGACTGCCCGCCGCAATATCACAGTCCTGCTATAAGTCACTGATCGCCGCCATTACTAGTATAAGAAAAAAATTCCAGTATATATTCTGCCATTTGTAGATCCTATAACTTTTGTGCAAACCAATCAACATACGCTTTTTGAGATTTTTTTTTTTTACCAAACATGTGTAGCAGAATACATTTTGGCCTATATTCATGAAGAAATTTGATTTTTTTACATTTTTTTATTGGATATGTTTTATAGCAGAAAGTAAAAAATATTGCTTTGTTTTTTTTTTAAAGTTGGTTTTATAGTGCAAAAAATAAAAAACACAGAGGTAATCAAATACCATTAAAACAAAGCTCTATTTATGGGGGGAAAATTACATAAATTTCATTTATGTACAGCTTTGCATATCTGCGCAAATGTTAGCCAAATTAACGCAGCGCAGTATCACAAAAAATGGCCTGGTCATGAAGGGGGTAAATCTTCTGGAGGTCACTCTCTGTGAATCACCCATTTACATTCACCAATAACAGCAATTGTAATAGTTACAAGTGTTTGTAAACACCTATTAACTTCCTTCTCAATCTATGAGTGAATTTTAGTTAAGCATACATGTATTTATATGCACATTTTAACCACTTGCCCTCCAGAGAATTTACCCCTCCCCCCACCTTGACCAGAGCCATTTTTTGCAATACGGCGCTGTGATACCTTAACTGACAATTGCGTGGTCATGCAACACTGCACACAAATGAAATGTGTACTCTTTTTTCCCACAAATAGAGATTTCTTTTGGTGGTATCTGATCGCCTCTGCGTTTTTTCTTTTTTTGCGCTATAAATTTAAAAAGTTCAATTTTGAAAAAAAAACATTTTTTACTTTTTGCTATAAAACATATCCAGTAAAAAAAAATT